ATACATACTCGGCCATATCATCAGCGATTATACCGGATTATTCAGATGCAATTTATAAACTCTCAACACTTTACGGTATATAAGACAAAAAAGGCAGAAATACGAATTGTTTTGATTGTGTACCTTAAACCAGAAGACGATGGGGTGTCACATCATACTATATGTCATTCATTTTGTAGAGTGGGCCTCTGGATCCGTCAGTGGAGTATGCCACAGTTGATAAGCAACGCAACATTTCTTCAAATCTTTGTTCATCATCTGCTCAGGTATAAATTTGCAATGTATTTTCTTTTGAAATAGACTTTACCGCAGAAACTCCATACTGGCAAGATATACCCACAATTCCAACCTTGACCAAACACCTACAAATACTCTTTTTTTTTTCTCGAAAGCCAGTTTGTCCTTGATTGGTGATCATTCATATACTGTATGAAAAATATCACTAGTAATTTACATACGCTTAAAACCCTCTTACATACATACATACTTGAATACAATGTATATGATATAGGTATATACACATAGATGTATATTAACTTATCAAAACTTATCCATTCTCTATCTCTCTCTCTCTCTCTGTCTGAACTCTCGCTTTTTATTTCTCTATCAGAGAGAGAGGGATGGGTAAACATATGCTCCATTTAACAAAGTTAAACATGGGAAAAAAGAGCAACAAATAAACAGACAAGATACTTCTATTTTGTTCTTTGATACCTTCTGGAGGTAGAATATTGTGATAGTTTTACAGCCATTTTCTGCCAAGGAATTTGAACACACACCTGTAGTCCCATATGGAGGATCCTGAGTTTGCTTATTTTGCCCAGCCTTCTTCATACCTACACTACAGGCAACAATAACTGTAATGTATATTTTCTGACTGAATTATGCTTATATTATTCTTATGATATAGAAGCAATTACTCACTGGGATTTAAATCATTTACCAGATGATTTAGCTAACCGTCTACTACTACTAATAGCTAACCTACATAAAATGGGTGTAGCTGAGTGAGTGAGACTGCTGAGCTTTTCTGACTTCCCTTTGTTTGTTCTGAATACGTATTGAATATTGAATACTGTCCTGCCAAATTTAATCACCGGTATTCATCACCGTTCGACTTGCAAACGCCATCATGAAGAATTACTTCTTACCACCCTCTTCTTCTAGATCACATCCACTCCTTCTAGCAATACTCTCAATAGTGTGTGCACTTAAACTATTGAAGAGTGGAAACCTGTACACGCAGATTGCAGACCATAGATCAGCTTATTTACCCTTCTTCGATCTACACGCAACGCTTTGTGAACCAAGATCACTACACCAGCCTACTAGAAGGCGTACTTACACTGCAGATATTGATAACTGCAAACTGTTACTTTTTATATCATCCTGTAATAAGTGGAATCGAAATACAAAGCTTTGTCCACTTGACTTCAGGTCGACTTCTTTGAGCCACCTAACCATCCTACTTCTCCTCAGCGGACAAGTTGAAACCAACCCTGGTCCATCAACTAGTGCTCCTGAGACATTTCCATGTGCCATCTGTGGGGATGAAGTGAGAGACAACGACCCTGCTCTCTTATGCGATCACTGCGACTGCTGGTGCCACATCTCATGTGTCGGTATCTCCCCAGACTCCTATGATATCTTGACAAAGAAGTCCAGGAGCTTCGCTTGGGTGTGCTGCCAGTGTTCCTCTACCAACATAGGGTCAAGCAGCTCGCTGCAAGGTCTTAACCTCTCACAGACCAATCGTTTCTCACCCCTTCACCACGACTCCAGTAATGAAGAAATCCTTCCCTCCATCAACCCCCTAACCTCTACGCCTACATCGAGCCCTGGGGGACGTCGTCAACCACGATTTCACCCTCCATCAAGAAATCACAAAAAGGCATTTAAAGTGATGGTTGTAAACTGCAATGGTCTTAAGGGGAATGCTAAAAAATCAAGCTTCCACGCAGCTATTGCTCACCACACTCCTGATTTTGTTTTTGGTTGTGAATCAAAACTGGATGACAGCTTATCATCATACTCAATCTTCCCAAGCAATTACTCCATCTACCGTAAGGACAGAAACATCCATGGAGGTGGTGTTTTCATAGCAATCATCGACACGCTAATTGTCACTGAATGTCCAGAGTTTGACTCAGACTGTGAGATACAGTGGTGCAACGTGCAACTTGCAAATGCCAAGCCACTGTATATTGGTAGCTACTACTGCCCCCCCAACAACAGACAACAAGGTCTTGAAGGCTTGCACCAGTCATTGTCCAAGATTATGACAAGACACCGGCGCAGCCACCCTAACATCTTGATAGCCGGCGACTTTAATCACCCAGACATCAACTGGGATGACCAGTCGACTACAAATCCAGCCACTTCTACTTGTCACCAGAAGCTGTTGGATATCCTTTTGCACAACTCCTTGTCTCAAACAGTCAGGGAAGTCACCCGACCTTCATCCAACAACATCCTGGATCTAGTTGTGACGTCAAATCCCGCCCTGGTTGAGAATGTGTGCGTAAAGTCTGGGATATCAGACCACAACATCGTCACTTTTACTCTTGCTGCAAATCCAAAGATCTCTGTCAAGCCCCTGCGGAAGATCTACCAGTTCCACAAAGCTGACGAACAGCAACTGAGAGATGCAGCAGCCGAATTTGCGACGGAATTCCTCCAATCAGATCCAGAAAGAAGATCAGTGGAGACAAACTGGACCATCATTGTCAACTTCTTGAACAGGTGTTTGTCTGAGCTTATTCCTTCTAAAATGAGCAAAGGAAGGAAACATCTTCCTTGGATTACTCCTCCTTTGAAACGCCAGATGAGGAAGAGAGATAGCCTATTCAAGAAGGCACACAGCCAGTCTTGCTCCACAGCTTGGACAGCCTACCGACAATTCAGGAACCAAGTTGCCAAGAATGTGCACAGAGCACGTTGTGAGTACGTCAACAACATCATCGGGGCAAGCCTTAAGGACAACCCAAAGTCTTTCTGGTCTTACATCAAGACATGTCGTTCTGAAAACATTGGTATTCCTACCTTGCGTACTCCATCTAAACTATGCGCCTCAGCATTAGACAAGGCAGAGACACTGAACGACTACTTCCAGTCTGTCTTTACTCCTCACCAGCTCCAACCTCTTGTACAGAAAGGACCTTCTCCTTTTCCAACTATTGGTCACCTGCATGTTCACAGGACTGGTGTCGAGAAACGCCTCCAACAACTGGACCCTTCAAAGGCCAGCGGACCTGATGAACTTCCACCCAAGCTCCTAAAGTTGGTAGCTCGCGAGATTGCTTCTCCACTGTCCTTCCTGTTTCAACAAAGCTACAACAGTGGCATCGTTCCAGCCCAATGGAAACAAGCACTGGTTACCCCTATTCACAAGTCGGGAGAAAAGTGTGACCCCTCCAACTACAGACCGATCTCACTTACCTGCGTTTGCTGCAAAGTCATGGAACACATCATCCTGAGCCATGTGTCGAAGCATGTTGCAGTGAATAATATCCTCACTGATGCACAGCATGGCTTCCGACGAGGGTTGTCAACAACCACTCAATTGACAACAGCCGTCCACGACTGGTCCTTCATCCTACAGCAGCGTAGCCAAGCTGATATAATCTTCTTGGACTTCAAGAAGGCATTTGATCGAGTACCACACCTTCTCCTGTCAACCAAACTTCAGTACTATGGAATAAGTGGTGACTCACTCCAGTGGATAATGTCTCTCCTCACTGATAGACAACAGGCAGTCGTAGTTGATGGATCCAAATCAACATGGAGGGATGTAAAATCTGGAGTCCCCCAGGGATCCGTCATCGGCCCTACCCTCTTCCTGTTGTATATCAACGATATCCAAGACAACATCCAGTCCACAATGCGTCTCTTCGCAGATGACAGCACCCTCTATCGTGAGATTCGATGCCCTGAGGACCATCAAATCCTAAAGGACGATCTCCAACAGCTGTCAAGGTGGTCTTCAAACTGGATGATGGACTTCAACGTGAAAAAGTGCGCTATCCTCACCATCACACGGAAGCGTACTCCCAGCATCCGAGAATACCACCTGTCAAATGGACTGATTCCGAGAGTGAAAGAGTACAAGTACCTTGGAGTAACGGTTGCTGCTGATCTCCGTTGGAACAAGCACTGCCAAACCATCCGGCATAAAGCAAGCCGTACTCTAGGTCTTCTTCGCAGGACTCTCTCACCCTGTACCAGGGATGTAAAGTCCAGGGCCTACACAGCCTTAGTGCGCCCCCAATTGGAGTATGCCTCGGAGGCTTGGAACCCACACAGCGTCACGGTCACAAAAATGCTAGAGCAAGTACAAAGAACAGCGGCTCGCTTTGTGTACCGTGACTACAGATACACCACATCACCATCAGCTCTTGTGGCAGCTCTAGGGTGGGACACGCTTCACACACGTCGAATCCTCGACCAATGCACCCTTCTCTACAAGATCCATCACCGACTTGTCTCCATACCTGCACCAACTATTGTTATCCCTGCTACATACTTCGGAAGACATGACCACAACCTGAAGTATGTAATTCCTGTTGCAACTATCGACTCCTTCAAGTTCTCATACTACCCAAGAGCAATAAGGATCTGGAACCATCTGCCAGGCTCAGCAGTCAATGCAACAGGAATAACCAACTTCAAGGAGGCTGCTCTACCCTCCATCAGAATGATGCAGCCCCCCGTTGGTTCTCACATCATATAAGCTTACTAGCTTGGTTTTTACTTGCACTGGACTTAGCATATTTTACTGTAAATTGACAAGTGCTTTGTCCACACACCATTCCAGCAATTCATGACACTCCTTGTAGTCACTTGCCTCACCTACCATCCCAGTATAGCTTCCTGAGTGAGCTGCCAAAGGGATTACCCAACCAAGTACCAAGCAAAAAGAAGACATATGACATCTAAATAGCATTATCATTGAGTTCTAACACCCATTCAATAACACACTTATCTTCTTCTTATTGCAGCTTAGTCACCTTGATCTGTCTTTGGACTATGCCACAGTCAGCGAGCGAGTTACAGACGTGACTGCTCAACAGAATATGGTATTGAATGTTTGGAGCAACGGATACGAAATCATTAATAGAATACGAATGCCACACGTGCTTTTTTATAAAAATTCATTGTGAACTTCACTTTAAGAAAAATAACAATCCACCCGAACCATGGCGTACTGCGTGACCACCAGTAAAACTGACTGTGTACCTCCTGTTACCCAGCTGGAAAAGGAAGTTGATCGTGTATGCGCCCCTTGAAATTACTCTTGCCATCTAAATATTAAGAGTTCCTTATTTTGTTAGATTTATATGGCAATTATCTGTATCAATATTGTGTTACAAGTGTAGGTATTTGAGAGAATATCACGGCCAGGAGATGATCCCCCATTATATTTAGTTCGTACTTTATTTCCAAAAATATGAGGGACTTTGACGTACATACTCGGCGATATCATAAAACATTATACCGGGTTTAATATTTTACTGCAAGTAGAAAAATTTCTAAATATTTTGAGGAAATTTTAACACCGACAAAAACAGAAATACATATATGATAGTGTACTTCAAACCAGAAGACGATTGGGTCGCACATCATAACATTGTTTATTTATTTCGTAGAGAGGGCCTCTGGATCCGTCAGTGGAGTATGCTACAGTCGATAAGCAACGTAACATTTCCTCAAATCCTGGTTCATCTTCCGTTCAGGTATTAATAATCAAAACATTTTCTTTTGATAAAGACTAAACCTTAGAAACCTACAATACCCACACTTTACCAAACACATTCAAACACACGGTTTTTCAAGAGCCAGTTTTCCCTTATAACTCGAAATTTATGTCATTTAGCATTTGTTCATGTTTTGATTGAGTTATGGAAATATAATTATTTTAATTGAATTAATCTACATTCAGTTGCTGTGATATGTCATAACAAAAATAAGATTTCTTCATAATAGCTTAGTGAAGAGGTTTTTATTAAGAAGAAAACAATATTAAAATCTACACTTTTATTTACCGAAATAGAAATCTGCACTAAGAAACAGTATTGATTTTAGGGAGTAAAACCTTATGGGAGGCCGGGAAGTGGCTGCTATACTACAGATATTAGCTGGTAGGGTGTGTAATATAACATTATTTGGACCGCCGAAGGGAGTTATATTTTCGCAAGGGGCTAAATGATCAATCATGCAGATACCATGCCTACGAAAAAATCAGTATTTATTAATTTAACCCGTTTATGTCATATCGAAACAGAAAGGAGATGTTGTACAACCAGAACAATCACTAAGAAAAGAGATAGGGAGAAGAGGAAATGTACCACACGTGTACACTGCATCAGCAAATGGACTGGTAACTATAGTATTTATAATCTCCTATGATGATTTAGAGTATAACAAGGCCAGAAAATTAAGGCACTAAAAATCCAATTAATCTAATAAGTTGTTAACACAAATCTATGTTTTAATGTAATAACAGTAAGTTATGTTATATCTTATATTCATCTGATATGTGTAAACAAAATTATGACATAAACAAGAAATTACAACAAATCCCAGCATCACATGTTTCTAGTGTGATATTAATTGTAATTTAGAAAGACGCCTTTTAGAACGCAAAGGAAGTTTGTTTCAAACTGTGAATTGCGTAATTTGAAGTTATATTTTATATAACGAGATTTTCCCTGCGTAAGATGTTAAATTGTTCTAAAGAGAAAATAATCCTGTATCATGTGAATATAATAGATTTTCTATTAAGAAGTTCTGTAATATTTTGTCTGTGTTTCTGCAGTTGCCTTGATGTTCAGATGTTGTTGAAATGTCCAATTTAATTAGTTTTGTTAAGCACCAGGGGCAGTCATGTGCGTTTGATACGTAATGAAAACATTCAAATACTCAAGATAAAGCTTTCGTTGGTTTTAATTGTTCACATATTCTTGGACGAAATTGATCACGTTTATTTTTGTCTTTGTTAATCTAACACTGAAGGCCGAGTATGCAGTTGTAGACACAACTAGAGAAGAGAGAAAGAAAGGGCAGTCAAGAGGTCATCAAAGGAATATGGTTAGTTTTAGAAAATCAAGTTTTTTTTCTATGTTAGCTGGCAGTCCTAAACTTTAGGGTAAAGTTTCCTTCCTTACATGTACTAATGTGTCCTTATTTAGTACTTGTACTTACGTACTACATTGAATTGATTTGTTATTTTGGTACGAACGGTCATCTTGAATAAAATCTTGATTTAAGGATACCACTCGACATAATGCCATTGATCTTTAACTTAACTGATATTCTGAAAGAGAAATATATATAGATGAAAGTATTTGTTTCTAAAAATAACTCACTCGCAGGCATCTTGAACACTTCCATATTACTTCGGTTTTTTGTTGCTGTGCCTCTCTGCACTGTAGGTCATTTGACTCACAAGAAATGTTGCACAAAATAAGAGGCACTACTTCCATGACAGCAGGATCAGTTTTTATATCACAATGATTTTGCAAATTACCAATTTCCGCTCTTAATGGCTCCATAACTACCTTTTTAACGTTGGTATAGAACAATATTTTACTCTAAACGGTGACAAAATTGAAAGATAAATACGAAGTGGTAAAGGAAAATTGTATAAAGAGTTGCAGCCTATCTGCACAAGTTTGGCAATGAGGGATCAGACCTCCCTGCATGGTCACTGACAAATGGTTATCTAATTAAATCGGCTCTCAATTAACATACGAAAAAGGGGACCATGGGGGACCAACGGTCACCGCTTAGGCATTGTTTGCTATATAGAGGGCGCAAGTAGCTATAAGTAGTTCAGTGGGGATTTAAAGGAGTTTCTTTCAGGTCAATCTCAGATTTCAAGGATGACTTTTCACAAAGACATATCTCAAGGATTTCCTTGGTCCTCAACGTCAAAACGGACCCCCCCCCCCAAAAAAAAAAAAAAAAAAAAAAAACGCCGATGGTCGGAGCACCTAAATCCTTACTCGATAAATGGATACGAATAGGTGTCACTTTATTTTATAATGGCTACTCTGTGTTAAACTAAACATATTTGACACCAGAGCCTTCAAACGCACTTTGAAATTAAAAGATATAAGAGTGAAAAGTAATTAGGAAAGCATCAATTGATTTAGTTCTAATTGTATATTTTTATTGTATTGTTTACAGGCTTACCATGACCCGGAAGAAGATTATGCTGTAATTGACAAGAAGAAAAAGAGCCGACGAGAGAAATGATATGATGAAAAGTACATTTTAAAAAAGGTCCATGCGTTTATTTTGATAATAACATCTAAATTTCTTAGCATAATTATGTGCATATTTAAAATTAACTTCTAAAGATTTCTTTAAAAAAAGATTAGTTTTTGTTTTGTTTACTGTTTAAATGTAAAACGACATACCAATTCAACCAGTTGGCTTACAAGTAGGCTTATACATATCACTTTTCCATTTCATATTTCACGTTTACGACTAAAATTCAAGGGTGAAATAGTATCGTTCCAGTTACATATCTCTTTAGATTAAAAAGAATAATAATTAAACACAAATTATAATCTCCTTACATTAAAAAAAGAAAGACGGATGACTAATAAATATTAATGCACTTAATTAAACATCTAAATCAGTGCACATACAGGTCACCAATGCGAAAATCATATATTCTATATTTTAGTCATATTGAACGTCTTGGTTTTTATCCCATGTTGTAGCTGTGGAATGTCAAATTGATTAATAATTATATTATACAGGGAATGACGCGATTTGATAAAGAGTCGAAAGTTTGACCGAGATGCATGACAAACTTATATGTGAAAGAGATTTTGGAGTATCGCTGTACAAAAATTGAAATATGACTATCAGAAAAGATCTTGGTTCTAAAGAGGGAAAGTGCAATCAGGCGATGATGTGTATTAAACCCTCCTTCTTACTAACCTGACTAGCTTGGTGGTGTACTCGATGTGTGGTTTAATTTTTATTTATAATCAACAGTGATACTATATCAACCCAATACGTACTAAAAATAGTGTAAATAAACACAATCTTTTTAAAAATATTATACAAAACATGTTTCAAAGTAGCATATATGATTAGAAATAATGATAGATACGTATTTAGATCAAATTATACAAATATGTGCATTGATATCGACATGTTTTCGGTAATGAGTTTATAATCTTGAATTTTTCTATTCTAAGACCATTTTGAGATTTCGGAGAGAGAGAGAGAGGAAGAGAGAATGAAAGAGGGTGATTAGGGAAAATGCTAAACATGCACAAGTTGTTTACACTTTTCGTGTTATATCATGCAGCATTTTTTATGACGAATGGGTAAAGAATATTTTTTCGAAAACGTCAATGCATTTTGTTTTAACGATGGTATTTGAAAATATTAGCCAATTGATAACGATTAGTAAAACATTAAGTATTTAGGTATGTCAATAAATAAATGAGAAAACAAATACTGGTGTGACGTAGGGTCCATGGTATAATAATCAAGTCGCACACAATAATACTCCGGCAATGAAAATTAAAAGCGCAGGGTGAGAGTAATGCAATAATCATTATAAGCTTGCCTCATGTCGTTATCAAAATGTAGGACTTAAAATTCAAATTTTGCATCAATATTATTTCATTGTAAATAAACTTGTGTCACCAAACAGTGGTTCTGGTATTTTGTTACTTCATTTAAATGCATAAGCACAAATACGCTTATCGTTATTAATATAATAATAATAATAAATAAACAAAATTATGAATTTGCTCGTGTTGATGTATTGTTGTTGTTGTTTTTATTTTCGAAATCAGATAACAATATTATACATAGTAAAATATACAAAATAAAATAGTTATACATGTACATAGACAAAAAAAAAAAAATCGGTGGATAGCCCAATTCAGCAGTGTTTATAGAACACTACTGTTCTTCCTTGGGGTCCTGTATCATCAACTCTCCGGTCCCTTTGATGATTTGGAATTTGTATGAAAGAGACATAAGCCTTTAACGAGAAAGTAAGTGGGAGGAAAAGAGAGGGAGAGAGTAAAAGTAGACAAAGGGAGAGAGAGAGAGAGAGAGAGAGAGAGAGGGAGAGAGGGGGAGAGGAAGATAGAGAGAGATGGCTAGAGAGAGATAGAACACGAGAAAGAAAGAGAGAGAGAGAGAGAGAAGAGGGACACGAGAGGCTTTGAGGGAGAGAGGGGGATTTCGTGTTTTGTATCAGTTTGGCCATGTATACAAAACATCTAGGATGAGTACCTATGGAAATAACATTAGTGAACTCGATGCTTCTTACAAATTCTCCAGAAGCATAACCAAAACCAGCTCCAAGCTTTTACTACTGGAATTTTTATAATACGTGAAACGGCAGCACCGGCTGATTCATTTCGCAACAATACATCGAATAACCATAAATACATCGACATGGAAAATGTTTACCAAACGTCCTCAGCGGGGCATGATGTAGACCTTGGTGGATATCTTTTTCCCGTATATGGACTCCAATAGCGAGTTGAGCGAAAACTGTGGAAAACTCAATAACCAGTGTGAAACAAAAAACATGACATAGAGTTGAATCCATGAGTATAAGGACATGCACACTGTAGGTAAAATACACATGAAATCAACGATGGGATTAGACAGTGTTGCGTCAGCGTTCAGTTGTTGCTAGTGTGTATGATCTGTCATTTGTAATGATGTTAGCAAGTGTGCTCAAACAAAAGACTATCGAATGAGAGCCATATTTTGATGATATAAAATAAACACGCTCGAAAATGATTTTCACTCTTCAGTACGATGAAAACTGAAAGTGATGTCAAATTCGATTATAAATGGAGGTTATAAGTACTGTTCAAAAAACTGAAAGTGATATGGAGGTCATAAGTACTGTTTTGAAAATTGAAAGTGATGTCAAATTTGATTATCAATGGAAGTCATGAGTACTGTTCTGTTCTGTTAGTTAGAATGCCTCCTTAGTTTTATCACTGATGAATCAATATGAAGTTGTATTCAAAGTATAAAATTATTATCTCATATATATTCAGTAACTTTACCTCTTTGTGATACACAAAATGATCGTTATCGTAAGATGGTAACTGACGCAAATAATTGATTGTTCACAGCAAGCAATGCACAAAAAGGTAAACAAATTAAATCTATCAATCATTTTGCTTTCCTTAACTGGGTATAGATGTGTTGTAGCAAATTACTTAGATATTGACATGATTTCATTTTAGATTGTAAATATTCTTTATCATGATTGTGTAAAAAAACAATGTACAAAGATTAATCACACATAATGTGTCACTTTCATTTATCTAAATTAATTATTTCACAATCATATACTGTTAAACTTTTATTTGTCCTGACAGTGATAAGGAAACCAAGTCAGGTATTATATCGCAGCTAAATATACCTATCTTCCTTTCAAAATACATGAGTTTTGACTCATCTTGTTTCCTTCTTTTGTGTATTCTATTAGCTTAAAAGTTGTCACTAGGCACTCATATAAAAGATAAAATAGGGAGTTAGCGAGTATCCTTTTGGATAAAAAGGTGTCACATGACACTCAATATTTTATCATAATGTGCACGACCATGCAATTGGACAACACGGTATTACGCGTACAAAAGAGAATCTTCGTAAAGTCCCCATCTCACTAAACTAGTTCTCACTACGTTCTCGAAATTGTGTGCGAACGGATTTGAACGTAGTAGCAACTGTTTACGATCTGTTTAAGGACTTCATGGACGGGCTCGCAATACAATGTCTCTAATACGATCCTAGTTCATTCATAAACAGCCCGCAATACGTCCATCTCGTCTGTAGCCCGTCCACAGTAGGTTCATATCAGGATCAGATCGAGTAAATTTGCCATTTCCAAAAGTCCAAACCCGTCCGTAGTCTGTTTAAACCCGTCATTAATTATTGCTTATTAACTATAAATATTCGTTCCCAATACGTCTAAACCATTCTTACTAGTTCACAACTTGTTCTGAATAGTTTATAACCCAAACACTCCCGTACATAGACGGTACGATTCGTCCTCATCTCGTTCTTAGTGCGTTCGAACGCACGAGGGCTATAAAAATCCAGCGCGTTCTTGCTAGTTGATGCTCGACCACGTCACGTTGTAACACGTTCCTAGTAGGATCGAAGTACGGCAATTTCGTCCATAGTACGTCCATCTCGTCTAATTGCAGGACGGGGAAAATTTGAACGGGCTCAAAGTTCTAGAGCATCCTTCCCGTCCAAGCTAGCCCGAGCCCGTTGCTACTACGTTCACTCCGTTCGCACACAATTTGAGCCCGTTCGGCAACATTTTCCAGAAAGTAGTGAGAAATAGTTTGATGAAATGGTGGCTTCACTTGATTGTCTTGATCTGCAAAGCTTGAAGTTGAACTGGAATGATGAATGGCGAGAATGCGCTTGGTTTTTCAAATTGCTACGGTTGTCTCATTTTCGCTCGCTGGACATACAAAGCAGACGACAATCGGCGGATTAGACGACACTTGGTAGTGAATTTGTATGTGAGATTGCTTCGCTAAATATAAAAACAAGAACATTTTCCATATCTTTAAACTTTCATTGATATCTGATAATTAAACAGTTATTAATATAAACCTACTAAACTATATAATACAGTGAAAAAATTGACTTAATATACGGGAGTTTGATGTGGTGCACAATTGCACCCCTCTGTAAATAATCGAATAGTCCATGGCGATCATTAATATTCATGTTTTTGCTTACCTCGGCAAAATGTTTGCCTTTTTTCAATGGAAAAATTACGGTGGGGGGTTGGATGAAATGGACATAATGAACCGATCAGAACTGATCTATTATAAATCATGCTTCTTATCCTTCGTGTGCTTGACCTAAAACCATACAATCGCTTGGCAAACTGAGACCAAAGTTCGACTTGTTTCACATGTGTTATATAGGCAATGGCGAGCTTTCAACCTATTTTGATCAAATTACGGTGGGTGAACTTTCAAAAATCAATGGGACATGAGGGTTCCAACGAAAGAGCTAGTGATAACGTACGTCGGGGTGGGTGTGATTTTCGTTTAAACAAAAAATGAATTTTAAACTATTTTGGGGGGTAAAATTCCATAGGCTAACATGTTAGGCTGCTGACTCTGATGATAGGGGGCGTTGTCAAATGAGACTAAACGGAGCTATATGTAAAGCGAACATTTTGTTGTTGTACTTTCGGCGTAAACATTAGATGCAGAAACTACGCAACCCTACGCAGAT